TATGTATGTATGTATGTATGTATGTATGTATGTATGTATGTATGTATGCGTTGTTTGTCAATCTTACCTTAGTACGAACCTAGCGCCAAACCTAGCGCAACCCTGCGTTTTGCTAGCGAGACAAGGTAGCATCTCTAAGTTAAGCAACAGAATACCAAGCGGTGGCCAAGCTATTTCAGAACCTCTTTGGACGTGCCTTGCTTAATACATATTATCATATTACCGGGTTTAGTTGTTCAGCTCATATGGGATATTGGCCCTGTGCATGGCGTGGGTAGCAGGTGGGGGTGGTTCATCAGTCAACCAGGTGGGGGATAGCAGCTTTGAGGACACGGAGGTAAGGCTCATCACCAGCGTTGAGGCTTGAGCAACCTCATGTCGATTCCCAGCTTCAAGCAACAATCCAAACACAACAGGAATTTTGTCAGGTTTGACATCGTGGCTTTAGCCGGATCCTTAATGCTTCAAAACGACCTGCACCACCATAGCCACCATTGCTACCAGCGGTACTGAAGAGGAAACAAACAGGCCACGATGGTGAAACTTTGAGCTGCCATATACATCTACGACTTTAAAACCTGCGTTGTGCTGATGTGTTAAGCTGCTTCGTGATTTGAACCGTCCCCAGAAGCATTGGTCAATTGGGAACTGGGAACACCATTTCCTCCAAAAATTCTGCCTATTGGCAGAACTATCCTCAACAACTACTCTTCCATTTGGATCCATTTGGCTGACACCCCAACTCCACCAACCACTCCACCAAGACACTGTTCAGGCGTCGGAGGCCCATGCGACTGCTCCGTGAGGGCCGCAAGCCCCCGGCCACCAGTGCCAGAGTCACCAAGCTCCTGAGGTTGTGTTGTCAGCATGGTCCAATCAATGTCTTACAGATAGTGATCATTCCGAATTGGCGGAACTCTCGGGTTCACCGCTGAGCGATCTCGACCGTGAACAAAAGACACGGTTCACCGCTGAACGAAAAGGAGTTCACCACCTTCGTTCGACTGCTGAGTTCGGTCCACGGATCTTCCTCCGTCGGAGGCGGAACGGGACAAAAATGGACCGATACGGAAGTGAACGATGCAAAAAGAAGAACAAATGGAGAACATTCCACTGAAGAGGACTTCACAGATCTGAAGGCGTGGATCCGGAATGCAGAGTTGTGGCTCTAACAGGTGCATCAATGGTAAGCAATGGTTCCAAAGACCAGAAGATCTGCAAGGACTAAATTGAGAACTGGAGTGGATGTTTGAAAAAGCATGTGTGTGCCGGACCCATATGTACTCAGTGCTCCGTAACATTTAATTCTCAACCAAACAAACATCTCTCCCAGCTCAGCTGAACTCACAGAAACCTCGGAATCTGATGAAGGAGATTGACTAGTCCCAAACACTCCATGGGACTGCCATATATGCCGATCAGTTGGGGTGGTTTTGGGGGTCAATGTAGGCATATATGGCATACATGGAGTGTCTGGGAGTCCTCTGTGAGTCTGGCGATGTATGGCGCCATGGTGCTGTCTTGCACTTGGATGACTGGACGACCCGCTGGACGATGCCCCGCTGTCGTTGGAGTGGCCGCGGCGGCCACCCTTTCCCAACCTGAAGGGACGGCCGAGAACAGCCCGGTGGGCCCAGCGATGCGACCGCTTCCATGAACACACATATACATAAATATACCCCAAACACTCCATGTATGCCATATATACCTACATGGGGGTGGTTTTGGGGGTCAATGTATGCATATATGGCAAACATGGAGTGTCTGGGTACTATCAACGACAAAGCTATGAAGCTATGAACCAGTCAGGGATCCAGCATGGGACTCTCAGCTGTTTCTGCTCTCTTCCTGCGCCCTTCAGAGTACCCGAAGGAAAACTCTTGCTACTGTACGCTGTGTCCAGCTAAACCATTCACATGTACCCTTTTAGAACACACACCCAATCAAAGCACCCGTCAACCAAGCTGGCTTCGTAGTTCGCTCTGTGTCTGTGAGTCTGGGCTCTCTCCCTCAAACACTGCAAAGATCTGAAAAGGAGTGTCCCTTAAGCATCTGCGACTATCTCCACTCTGTCTCCCCCCCTTCACCTTCCTTTTCCACTCCAAGCCGCTCATTCAAGCCGCGGCCCAACAGCGGGATCGGCGTCTGCCGCAACGCCGTCATGCCGCGGCCCAAGAGGAAGGCCACCAAAGCCATCGGGTTTGACGTTTCCACCGCCGTGGTGACGATGTGGCCGATCCACGCGGCGTGGGACGTGGGACGGAAGAAGCGGGAACGCGGCGTAGGTCGTGGGACGTCGAGCGTCTACGCTGAAACACGGCGCGGCAGGTCAAGCGGGTTGGGTCGACAAGTTCCACCAAGTTGCACAGAGGGTAAACACTGATCCCAAGTGAGCACAATATGGGAACCCCTACCCCTGGTTTGTGAATCACTGTCACTTGACTATGCATTTGATGTGACTACCACCGGTTCGGGAAAATGTCCCATGGCATGTTGGAGATGGTCAAAATATACAATTTTATGAACTGACCCAAGAGTTTCCAATGAATTACTCAATCTGCTTCCCAAATTCCCGCAAACCTGTTGACCACTTCCCAATTCGACGGCATTGACAACCCAAGATAGCCAGGATAATTATGTGCATAGTCAAGCACGGGGCCAAAGACATTTAGTCAGTCTATGTAGGTTCGAGGTTCCGTCACTTTGAAACACCCTGAAACACAACAAAAAATCATCCGTCAAGTTCCCCAGACGACCAAGCAAAGACCTGCAGGTCTTCCCCGCCTTGGATTTGAACTCGCATCCGGGTCCTGGGCACGAGTGGATGCGCATTCGTGGACCCGGCCATGAGGCCGCCTCGAGTAACACCGAGACGATCTCGTTGTGGTTTTAGGCGAACCGGTTGGGCAACTTGGGAAGAAGGCAAGATGTCGGCCGGGTGTGGAAGGCACAAAAACCCCTCCATGGCCACAAAACCAGCAATTACTTAAGATTGTTGTTTTCCGAAATGATCTTGAAGTCTCTGTATGCATGCGCTTGCCTTTTTTAAGTACAGAGCTCATGTAGCCATCTTGAAAAGGGTTGATTCGATACAAAAGGATGGAAGGAGCCCGGAGATCTTGCAACAGCATATCGTCACTGGCTGGAACGGCTCCAGGTCACTCCCGACAGCTCTGCTCTAACACTACACACCCTCGATTGTTGTGGAAGATGGCGGCCAAAACATCGTGGTCAAAAGAGCAACAAGCCTTTGACAGGAGTACGCCCCACTCACTACTAACGATAAAATGGAAAGCTGTTTGATCGTAGATATTATGTTTTAATCTGTTTCAGGCATTTCCCACTTCCATGCCAGTGAGTCGGAGTAGAATACAACCATACTATACACTGTAACTATATTGTGCCTTATTGTGCTATCCGATGTTGTTGCTCTTGCATGCTTGGCTGCAGCAAACTCAGTAAACGCAACGTTAATCTGGCAAGGCCTCCACTCAAGGCAAAGACTAAGAATGCACACTGTGAGCGCATGCATTATTCATGGAAGCGGACAAATACAAGTTAAACACAAAGTACTTCTTCGTCACCCACATTGAATGAAGCCGGATCAGAGGGGGGCTCACTTTGTTTCTTTGCACATATCTAGCCGATTCTAGTCGTATCTGTTTGGGGGGACCCAGGTTCATTCCCAGCATTTCCAAGACTGTTTCTTGAAGATCTCCGCTCAAAGGCCAGCCTTCACAGGATCAGCACGAAGCCGGCTCAAGTCAAAGTCCTGCAATATCTGATCTCAGCTGCACAACAGTTGGTTGCGGATCAATGAACATCGATGACTCGAATAATTGCCCCAAACTACAAGCAAACTCCACTCAGCCGGAATCCTGGTGACCGACCACTGGTGACCTACTGCACAGTGACTGGACTCTGCTAGAAGGAAGTGTCCGACTCTTTTCTTTGCGCGAGGTTTTGAACTCTTGGGAGGGAGGTCTTAAGTTCTGTCCAAGCGAAAAGCATTCTTCGGCAGCTGAGAACGGCACACACGACATGCGAAACCACGTGTTGGAGGAGGTTTTAGGGTCCAGTCCAGTTGATGCTCTTTTGTACATTCAAGTCGCTGCATCCCATTCAGGCCAGCCACATAGGGGTGCCACCCAGGTTCAGTCGGCTGCACACATGTCTGTGTGTTCCGTTCAGGCTCGCGATGACCGAAATAAACCTGCTGGTTGCCTTTCGGGCTGGGAGCTTTTTGGGGGAGCAAAATGAAACCAACAATCTGCATCTTCAGTGCAAACTCGCACGATATTTGGGGGTCCCACCGACAAGTTGTCTGAAACGCTCGTGTCGTGTGTCGTGTCCTGCCGCAAGCGACCAGCTTCGATCTCCTTGGCGACCTTGCAGCGATAGAGCGGAGGAGAGCAGTGGCTCCCGAACAATTCATTTTTGGACCGGCATAATATTATCAGTAATATTATCTAATCGGGTCTATCCTATTACCTGTAACAGTGGATTTTTTTCTGGATGATGATCGGCCTCCTCTTCAAAAATGATGATTGTTGTTTACTGCCTGTTACAGGTAAGAACGGACAGACCCTAGTTACATGTGAATTCTCCTGAATGGTCACTGCGTCTGAGTCGTTTGGACGATCCGGACGGACCGTGCCACAGGGGGTTTTGGAGGGCCGTCCTGCCAAGGTCCTGGGGGGGTGGGACACCCAGTCCTTCTTATAAAGGGTACGCAACAAGCACGTGGACTGCTTGGGTTTCTTTCTTGGGACATGGACTCCCATGGTCCACCGCCACCAAGTCATCTTGGGATAGAACACCAAGTCGTATATGGCGGACCTGGACAATCCTGCACATGTGGATGGCGACCCTCGAGCTGTAAACAAGCCTCGAATCCTGCACCGGTATGAGACTCGTGGAATGAAATTAACAAATCCCAAGTCATCCACAGCTGTCAAAGGCTTTGCACATCAACACTATATAAAAACCAAGAAAAACATAGACAAACACACAGTCGTCACAAGACAAAAACCTGGTAACCGTGTGGCGATGCGTGCGTCCAAAATACCTGGTACTACGCCAGGTCCATGTCTTCCAACGTCCAGACTGGGCCCCGGCACCGGGCTCCAAAGATCTCTCACATCCTTCGCCTGGGTGAAACGAGGGAAAGCGCAACGCCGCAGGCAACGCTCCGTGAGAAACTCACTGCTCCGTTGCAACGCTCGTGGGTGCACGGTGGAGTTGGACCTCCGGCCCGGAACCTGGTCCTTGGAGTCCCTGGGTCTGACCTTTTGCTGGAAGAGTGGCCGGTGCGGGAAACTGGCTTTGGAAAAACATCTCGCTTGCGGGCAACAAACACCACAAATACCCCGCACGAAAGAATCATCAAATAGAACCGACATAAGCAGAGTGGAGTTAGCTTTGCATGTATGGATCTTGTGGGGAGCATTTCTCAACACGCCAGCACCTATCCTCCAACCTTTCAAACCAGGCACACAATTCGTTCAATCACCTGTGGATTGGCCTCACGCTTCGCCTTGATACAAAAAGTGCAAAGCCAAAAACTATATCTATCCAACCCAAGAGAGATATAAAGTCCAAGCACTGGAGTCCATTGCAGTCCTATTGCAGTCCAAGACCAAGAGAGTCCACTTATTTCCTTTTAGTATAACTGTGATCCGTCAAAGCTGCTGAAAAGCCACTGTTTCACAGGGAGAACAATCAAATAACCAACCCACCGTGCCCGGGGGGTCTCCCAGTACCCTGCAATGCCCTGCACGCGGGCAAGCCATTTCTTTCCTGATGTTGACGTCAGCAAGACACCAGTGAAAAGCACCCACCCGACAGTCTTCCCTTGATGCCAAAAGCAGTGCCTTGTGCTTTTGTTCGCCTCGCACAGTGAAAATGCAATGCATCTGTAGAAATGACCCGCCATGTATCCCTGACTTCAATTAACCAGCATCTGGAAACAACCTGAAGGCCCTCTGCCAGTGTCCAAGGATAGACATTTCTTGTTATCTTGTGTCTTTCTGTGTGTCTTGAATTCGATCAGAACAGCTCAGAACCGGTATTGAAGGGTGCAGTTATGTACATCCATGTGTATGTGTGCTTGAAAGACTGGTAAACATGCAAGACATGTTCAGGAATCTCTGAACTAGTAGCAAGAAACCCTGTGCAATGGAGGGGAATCACACGTTCCAGCCCGTTCGTAAAGGAACCCCCTCTTCCCCGTTTGGCAATGCCTTCCACTTCCATGAGTCGTGAGTCGGAACCTCCAAAGATGTTAAGGACTTGATGCAATGCAGTCCGAGAGTGTCTCTGAATCTCAAGGGAGGCTAAACATGGGCGAATGGCCCTGGCACGGTGCCGGGGGCGGTGGTTTGATCGAACCGGGACTCGCCCACCGAAGGCACCGAAATGCACCGAACGGGGCTCGCCATCTTTGGGGCCTTTCGGAGCGTCCCAAGCTTCAGCGAGGCGGAAACGACACGAAATTGTTGCACCATTCAAGGCGGGGACCATCCAAAGGGTTACCAACGGACTCCACACAAGCACTACATCTCCTGCAGTTGGCACCCCTTGGAAGGTCCAGGTGTATTTCTCGCTCTCTCCTGTGCCTTAGGGATAAGCTCCGCGCCCGGCCCGCGCGCACATCTAAGCGATGGTCGGACTGGATGAAATCCAACGACGATCGTAAATCTCTGACCACACATTGTTTTTGGGTGCTACATCGCTACTAGTCGCAAGGACGCTACTAAAGGCTCCTGGCATCGCTACTAGGAGCAAGGACGCTACTGGGAGCATCTGGGAGCTACTCTCAAAAAGCAGATATCCACTAAAGCATCGTCGCAGAAAAACGTCCCTTTCCGGGTATTGGTTGGTTGCCGTAAACGGTATCCACTTGAAACCGATTCGGGGAAGCCTGCGGTTGGAGTCACTCGTCCGGCGCAACCTGAATTACCAGAGACATGATCTGTTTGTTTGGTACTCTCTTTTCATTTTCTTGGAAGGGCAGAGGGAATGTCTTCATACTGCAACCGCTACTCTTAACTAGGGAGAACGGGCAGCCTCGTTCTCCAAGGCTACTCTGAACCTCTAGGTGGGCAAGCGGCCAGCCACAGAAAAACTAACGTGAGCTATAGGGTCTACCTCTTGGAAGCCTCCAAGCAAGGATGCCAGTCACAACACTACACCCA